AGTTATTTTAAGACCTACCAAAGATCTCGGTGACATCTTTCCTGTTGTCCCTGACTTGTGTCCTCTTTCCTATGCCTTTCTTGGTTGGTACCGCTAACTAAAGTTCTCTATTCTCCTGGTTTATACTGCTCATTGAACTGGAATAAGCCTTCTGTAGTACCTGAAAACATGGAAGTTGTTTTCCCGTTGATATTCTGGGAAGACATAATGTATTATGACCCTTTCTCTCAACACTGAGCAGAGCTTACAGTGTAGAGTAAGTGCTCAAATACTGATGCTTATTATAGACTTTTTGCATAAATTGTATTGCTGTGCTCAAATACTGATGCTTATTGTAGACTTTTTGCATAAATTGTATTGCTGTTCTCTACCCAAGAAGGGATAAAATATGTATCTTTCTTCAATTCTTTATTGGCTCAGGATCTCCTTATTTCTGTTTCCATCTGCTTCTGAGTAGTGGGCACACTGGAGAATGGCTGTAGGCTTCTGGATTGGTTGCATGTGCTTTGGAGAAGGAAGTTAGATTGTTACTGAACTTTCAAAACTCCAGTTTTGCCAGGTGTGGTGGCTCATGCCTGTAATCCCAACACCCAGAAGGCTCAGGCAAGAGGATCACAGTGAATTCTAGGCCAGCATAGGTGTATATAGAGTGTTCCCTCCCAGCCAGCCTGCTCTAGACTGAATCCCTTTCTCAAAACATCAACAAACCCACCAGATTTTAAAAAGGAAACTATTTTCTTCTTCTTACTATAGATGGTAAGATGGTATTGCTGTTAGCAGTGTGCTGCATATGTATCTGTGATCTTTGTATTTAATTTAGTTCTTTCTAACATTGAACTAATTCCATTGAGCTATACACACATATGCATATACATTTATAGACACACGGGCATATAAAACACTGAGGTTGTCACTTCGTGATCAAATAGAATATAAGTAAAATACCTTAAGCCCATATATTTTTGGTACCATATGATAATCTTTTGTCTTTTAAAATAATAGATGGCCAGAATGTTGCATGCCTTTTGGGTTTGTAGCCTTTGATGGTGTAGAGGCTGAAAGTGGTGAGTGTGGTGTGTAGCACAGCACTGGCTGGTTCGCCATTGCTCTTTGTTCACAGACGTTCTGGTGATTTGAGATATCGCCTGATGAGTGCTCTTTTGAGACATGAGAGACAGAAAACATGCTGCACTTTACTAGAAACGTCTGAGTTAATACAGTGAAGTAGTAATTGAACTAACAGGCACCTCTTTTTTATTGTAAGTCAGTCTAAACCAGGGCTTCTCAAACTCCTCACACTCAAGCTCCTCTTCACTCAAGACATGTTTATGTGACTGCAGGCTTATATGCATGTAAAATAGGCATATAGTTCAAGCACTGATATTCATGAATACATCTTCAACAGTTCTTTGATATACTTGTAATTTTTCTTTTGTTAAAGATGAAAGCAAATATGCATACTAATGAGATGGGTGTACTTGTTTATTTTTTCCTTAAAAATTAAATTCTGGTTAAATATTTGATACTGCAGGACAAAGAACATATTCACTGTTTTTCAGAGTTGATTGATGGTTTGATTTTGTAATTATCAATGCTGAGCATGCCATTCACATCAATACCTAATACAGAATGGCTAAAGTAAGCTTAAGAGAACTTCAGAAAATACTGGAAATTCTGTTCTACTCCCAAGCCTGAAAACTCAACAGCAACACAAATAGTAATTTAAAAATTAAACATTCTTAACACAATACATTCCAAAGATATATGTACTTGATACATGCTGAGGAATGGTAGTAGGAAAATATTTAAAAGTCTTTGTTTTCTCTAAGAGCAGGAAACTCTGAGCTGTTTGTCATGAGTCTGGAGTCTGCACTGTAACATTACCAGCAGTATGGAGGACCCTGCAAGCATGTCATGCACAGTGCAAAGTGCACACACTGTGTTCAGAGCTGCAGTGCTCTTGTGAGATGCAGCACGGGCAAGGGCTGCCAGAACACCTTGCCTTTGTGACTGTGTGATTTCTAATTAATTGTAATATTTACACATTCAGAAACTTGATTGTTGCTAATTTTTATAGTTCCCACATTCAGTTATCTGCCCCATCTGGAGTCACAACTCAGTTTAGGAGCTGGGATCCAGTGTTTCAAGAGTTTCTTCTTATATCTGAACAGTAAAGTCTTCAGACCTTTGTTTTTTTTGTTGTTGTTGTCTTTTGAGGGGCGCACCACCCAGCTCCCAAATAAATCATACATGGAGGCTTATTTTTATGAATGCCCAGCCCTAGCTTGGCTTGTTTCTTGCCAGCTTTGCTTAAATTATCCCGTCTACTTTTTGCCTCTAGGCTTTTCCCATTCTCTTACTTCTGTAAATCTTACTTTTACTCCATGGCTTGCTGTGTAGCTGGGTGGATGGCCCCTGGAGTCCTCCTCCTTCTCTGGCTACTTCTCTCCTCCCAGATTTCTCCTTCTAAGTATTCTCTCTGCCTGCCAACCCCACCTATCCTTTCTCCTGCCTTGCTATTGGCCGTTCAAATCTTTATTAGACCATCAGGTGTTTTACACAGGCATAGTAACACAGCTTCACAGAGTTAAACAAATGCAACATAAACAAAAGTAGCACACCTTCAAATAATATTCTGTTACAGACCTTCTCTTGCTGTTCAAGTGTATGTATAAAATACAAATATGCATTGAGAGATTATATGTCACCTGAAACAGTAAGATCTTTGTTTTTCCAATACTGTATGTGCTTAAAATTTAGATACATACACACACACACACACACACACACACACACACACACACACACACACACACACACACACACGATAAAATAGGGTACCAAGAGTGAAAGAGAAATGGATGTGAAGCCATGGAAATTTTAGAGAATTCCATTTTATGAGTCTTTATGTTCACTCTAACTTTATGGATTATATGATTTGCATTTCCTAAGGCCTATGGGCTATCTGAAAATGTAATATTAGCATGGATGTTAAAATGTTGAAATTTCTACTATTCCTTCCAATGGTGTCTTTTTCTTAATTGCAGTAAATGTAACATGTATTGTTCTTAGGAGTCTTAATTTGATAACTGTGTGACTTTGGGCTAACAATGGCAAGTTTCTGGGTTTATTTATAAACTTTAAAACTCTTATACATGTATTAGAAATGTTCGACTACATGTAAGCACATGCATGTATATGCTAGTCTTATGGGACGCACCTGCTGAAATATGAAGCAGCCTTCTTGTGTATGTGTGCTCGCAGTAGTCATGCATTCCTGATCTTGTTTATGTCAGAGAGCTTTGTCAGTTTTGTGTCTTGTATTAAAAGTGAACTACGGCCATGAGGACTGTGATCATTAGAGTGAGTGAACACATTTAGAGATTTGTCTACTGCTGAAAGCAGGGCTTTGAGGGAGGCGGGTGTGTGGGGGCGTGGCTCCATACACTATCTCTTCTTTTGGCTAAGGAATTTATCTTTGATCTTTCAGACTGAAGACATGAATACTTGCAAAGCCATATTCTGTGTTCGTTCCATCACTGTTTGCTTTGTGGACTTCATTAAACTAAATAAGAAAAAGAACCAAGAGATGGTTCTTGGTATAAATTAGGCTTCTCAAATTGGTCCATATGTCATTAACCTGTTCAAAACACTTGCATTGCTCCAGTGGGGTGTGTGTGTGTGTGTGTGTGTGTGTGTGTGTGTGTGTGTGTGTGTGTTTGTTTGTGTGTGTTGGAAATTCAGTCATTCATGGAACATACTTCACACACACGTGTGTTTCAATGTGCTTGTTTCTGTGGTGGATTCCAGTCGTTTGTACAACATGCTTCACACACACATGTACCCCATTAAATTTTGCATTATAACCCCTTAAGAAAAGAACTTTTCCTTTTGTAGGTCCATAGCACCTGAGAAATAACTTGTTAGTCTCTGAGTAGTTTGTACTGTTGAGGTTTTTGGGTAGAATGTGCTGTTCTTAGGATAGCGAAGTGTTTGGAGGTAAATATGATTAACTCTACTGAGGTCCTGTGTCTGAAGTCCATTTCTTTTGGTTTGGTTATAAGCTGATTGAATCTATAGCCTCTCTTACATAATACCTTCATAGCAATTTCGGGTTATAATATAGGAATATTGGATGAGTGGAAGGATGTGTGAATGGGTGGATGAGTGGATGGATGGATGGGTATGTGGATGAGTGTGTGGAAGGATGTATGGATAGGTGTGTAGATGAGTGGATGGATGTGCATCTGCATGATTTTTCATAGAACCTGAGATTTGAGGTCCTTTAGCTGTCTAGATATATGCACTTAATTTTGGGTCTACTGTAGTTGATATTCAGAAAGTTTTTAATCAGTCATTTTTAATATGAAAATCATCAAAACAGATTGAACAGCTGAATAATAATAAAGACTAATAAAGATCAGAGAACATACAAGATTGGCAGACTCTCCAAAGAATAGCTACCAATTAAATGGGCAGGGGTGTGGAAAGTGGACTAAAGCTTTTTTTATAATTGCAAATGGATAACCATATTATTTTCAATGGTAAGATGATATTTTCAGCCAATCCTATGTCTGCAGTGTAACTTTGAATTTCTTTATGGTACATAGTACTTCAAGTAGATGATGACTTACAGAGTATTTTGTAAAAATGAATGTTACAGTAAACCTGTTTCCAGACATTATGAATCGCTCTTAGGTAAAGGCAATATTTGGTGGCATTTAACTTTGTGATTTAATAATTTATTGCATCATCAAATAAATGCCATCTTTATTATATGTTTGGGATGATTGTGGGGACCTTCAGGCAAGAGGGTGAAACTTAGTTAACTGTTCTCTGAAGATATAGCAAGTTTCAGTTTTGGGTCATAGCATTTCTTCTCAAATATAATATGATTGCCTGAAAGGAGGTAGACCATGTATTTTTTTCCCAGTTCAGTGTTATTGCTCATTATCAGCTGGTGGACATGGGAACAACTTAATAAAGTTTGGGTAATTTAGTTTTCAGTTTAAATTCTCAACTGGCAATTGGCCGAAAATTCCCATCTGAAGAAGGGAGCACCCAAATGCATTTTGGTTACTGCCTACTCGGCATAGGAAGGCACCATCAAGAATAATGGAGAGACTAGCACCAAAAGGAAACCAATGGTAAGAACTTTCTCTTCACTTATACATGCATTTATGTATATAACGCATATATATTTAAAATAAAATTTTAGAGTGTTTTTATTCTAGGACATACGACCAAATGTGTGAGTCTTACGTGTCTGTTATACTTTTATAGGGTACATGCAGAGAACAGTCTCACAAGAGATTTTATACATGCAATGTTGAGAAAACTAAAATGTGCAAACATTAGTCTATATGGTTCATACAAAGTTGAACAAGTTTAGTTTTTGTAGTTCTTCTGTACCTAATTATCTTTAAAATAGCATGTTATAAATATTGCTTGAATGAAGTTAAGTTTTAAGAATATTTATACCAAACTAAATTTTCTATATAATTTCTGGGTATCTCTCAAACTAGTCATAAAGTTTATAATGAGAGTTTATTTTTACTTTGATAGCAAAATAATATAAACAAAGAAAAAAATCTATTTACCTTAAAAATTCTGCTATAAAAGTTAGGTATGGTAGCACACACCATAATCCAAGCACTCTTGAGACTGAGGCAGGAGAATTGAGAGTTTGAGGTCAACAAATCTCAAAGAGTTTTAGGTAACAAAATGCTGTCCAAAACTGTTTCTATACATTGAAAATTGCTATTACATCTTTATATAAAATACTAATTTTACAAAATTATTTCTATAACCAAAATGAGCCAAACGATCTATTTATACCACCTAACTTTGGTGATAAAATCAGACGTCTCTGTCCTATCTTATGTTCACACTGAAACAAGAGCCCCAGTTTGCATCATTTTGATATGCTGCAAATGAACTTAAATACTTTTTTAGAATGTAACTGGTGTCTGCACATCTCTTCATATGGATATCTCCATCCTGTTGGACTCTAGGTGTTTTGGTTTAACTCTGGGTAGGAATGAGAGTTATGATCTAAAGCCAGCTTTTATCAGAACTTACATTACTGTCTCCATGGACATAGTAACTTTATGATACCTAGATAATAACTAATAAAGACCAGAATACTAATACTGCACAGTAATTCAGTTGACTGTTTTGCTATCAAACTTAGGATTTTGAGACTGAAATAATTTGAATATTTTTTCTTAACTAGAGATGTGAAAATTTTATTAATTGAATCTTGCCATGATTTTAGCCATTTCACAGCTCAATGAGAACTGTATCAGAATTAGCCCTGTGACAAGCACCTACCTCAGCATCTCCCATGCAGTCATCAGATGTTGCCGTGCCCTGAGTACTAGATCACATCTACCCTCAGTCCAAAGGTAGAAAATTGTAGTTGCAGACAGTCCCATGAGAAAGCATACGTTGCTGTGAGCAGAGAAGCAGTAAAGTTGGCATATAAGTAAACCATATTTTTAAAAGTGAAACAATAACTTGTTTCTGAACTTTTATTTTATAGCCCTACTAATTGAACATCTTTTAAATAAAACCTTGGAAGATTCAGTTCTGACCATGGAGACATATGTTGTTATACTTCTAGTACAGTCTCTTAAATTTCTTAAGCATTTGCACAGAGACTTGTGAAAGCCAAATTCTTAGGTGAGAATTTCATATGTGGGAGAATTCATACTAGATCCTTCAGTATTTCAGAAATTATGCACGGAGAACTTCCAAGTTCTTCAATTGATAGAAAGTTATATGCAGACATTTTTAAAGTATGATTTCTTCATAAATTTTATCCCTGTTAAAAATGTAAAATTTCTGTTCTTACACATGTATTTTAAGATTTTTGCATCAAGTTTTGAAAAATAAAATATTAGGCCATTTGAATGTCTGAAGTTGGTACTTCTATCATAATACAGTCTCATTTACAGGAGACACTAGTGATGTTTGAAAAATAATCAAGTTAGTTGTTTTCATATGTAGATCATGAAGATTTTAAAAACACTGGTCAACCTAGGTGTTAATTTTACCATGTGTTAATTATACTTACACTGGCACTGAACGTGTTACTTGCATGTTCATATGGAGCTATCAAATTCAAGTAATTAGCATTTTCTCTGACCCCTTATAAACTATGCAACAATATTGTGAACTATTCATCTCAAACATGAAACTAAAATCAGAAAAGTTCATGTTTTTAGAACTAATGATCTTTCTCTAATTTGCCACTGAAATATTTAAACATTTAAACATGAAATAAGACAAATATTTTTCAAGTAGTAAAATCCAAATTCATTTTTTCCTGAAAATTATGTGATTGTCTCTGCATGTACTCAGATGTTGCCAAGCTGTCTCTTATGTACTCTGATTTGAAGATGTCGGTGCAGAGATGGAGAACAGTCCTACCTGTTGCTGTAGGAGAGAGAGCCTCCTTGAGGGGTGTCTTGGGGGAAATGGAAACATTCTTGTCTGTGTAGCATGCCTTGTGATGTCCAGAACATTCCGTATTCTTTGACCACTCCTTTGGGTTCTGTGAGTTAGGTTTAACTGATCTAAGATGTCAAGTAGGGAGTTTCACTACATGAAGGAACTTGAAACACCATGGTATAAGAGAGGGTAATGAGGAGTGAACATGATCAACGTATAGTGAATGCCTAGCTGAAGAGTCACAATGCACCCTTTCCTTTGTCAGTTGAATGTGCAGTAAGCATCTTTCTAAAGCACTGTTGCACACACAGCTCAGATGGGGGCCTCTCTTTGTTGAAATGCTTATTAATGAATCCTGAAGCAAGCAAAGGCTATTAGGAATCTTTTAGTATCTCTAGTGCAGCAAATACAGTGTGTATTTTAATAGCTTCTGTCTGGATCTTTGAAGCTTCTGTCAGAAGAAATAAGTTGCAACTAAAAATTGTGTGGAACAGGAAGTTTACATTCTTGCGGGTATGAACCACGAGGTTCATATGAACTATGAAGTTCTGTCCTATCTTTAAAGTTAATATCCTGGCAGTAACTGTCAACATGTTAAATTTTATGCAAGGTAGATGTTACCAGATATGTTAAACTGCCACTTATGGTGGGTTTTTACTGAGTAAATCTAATAGAACAAATCCCATTTATGTATCAAATGAGTACTTGGTGGCAACCTGCTGTGTGTTGGACATTGCGCTGGACACTGGGGGCTCGTGCTAAGACTGTGATCCTCAGGTTGTAGTTGAACACAGAACATAGACATTGAGCAGATAATTACCCACCCAGTGTCTCCTGGCATTGTAAAAACGAAGTCCTTTCTTAAATGTACCTCAGGAATTGATCCTCTAGTGTGTTAGTAATTTAACTAATGAATAAACTAATAATTCACCTTCCTCCTGAAATGGGCTTCAGTTTGGCAAAAAAATGGCAGGAAGTCTTTAAAAGTGTTTCTTAGAAAGCAAAACAGTCTTCTGTGTGTGTGTATATATTGTTTAATACGAGAAGCTGCTATGGAAGGTCCTTAAAAACATATGTGGACTGCCATATGGACTGCCTATCATGTGTGTCATTCACTACAAACTCAGAATGCCTGTCTTGGGTATTGTACATCAGACATGTCATTTAAGAAAGCTATTCCAGGCAGTTTTACATAAGCACTTCCACACTGTAGTTAAGAAGTTGGTCTCTAGGTCAGACTAGATTTGTTATTAACACCTACACTTGGAAGGCTCACAGCCTTAAGAGTTCCCTGTGCTTCTGTTTCCTTCTCTCTAAAATGGAACAGTATACATCATACAGAAAACTAGATTTGTTATACACACACACACACACACACACACACACACACACACACACACACACACATTGCTTGGAATAGTATTTCATATGTAGAAAGTGCTAAGCATGGCTTCATATGTTTCTATTCACAACAGTAATAATAATGATAATTCTGTTATCAACAGTGTTCCACCTGGGTTAGGGAATGTAGCTTAATGGAGAGTGCTTCCCTAACATGCACAAAGGTCTAGGCTAAATCCCCAGCACCAGAAATTATGTTCTGCCTGATTGACAAAGTTAAGCCACCTGAAATAATTACAGAATAGATGGCTTTGTGTGAGGTGTATGCTGTCATTTACTCCAAAGAATTCACCTCTAATACATAGATCATAATCATTACCAAGACCTGTTACCCATTATTGCTGTGGAATAGAGGGCAGGGGAATTTCACCCAGTCTGTTTCCTCTTTAGAGCAGTTCAGCAGCTGCTCTAAAGAGGCCTCCATAACTGCATCTCTAGGACCAAGGTGAACTTAGCATTTAGCCCAAGACTCTTGAGTATCCCAGCCATGTGAGAGTGGTCCTTCTTCTCATTTAAGAAGTAATGTCAAACACCTGTTATTTGGATCATGAAAGATAAACCAAAGTATTGTGAGTTTGTGAATGAAAAGATTGTGCTGAATACCACCCCAGTGAAAACCCCAATACAGCATCTTTTCATCAGTAGTTCCAACTTATACTATGGATTTGCAATCCTAAAAGGACATAATGATGCTTGTATATATTATTGGAAAACAAAGTATTCTCTTAGCATAATCCTATGTTACCATGAGAATCGATGTTTAAGTTGTAAGGCTTTCTATACATAGATCTTTTAAGTTGATTCCTACATAGATATATTCAGACTTAAGTGATTTTTTTTCCTAAGTAATGTATTTGTTGAAAAACAATTTCAGGATGAAATTTCAGATGACACTTCCTTTGAATTGTGATTCTGTGGCTTTGAAGTTTATATATGCAAAAAGAGAACTTATATAGTGAATTAACTCAATTGTTTTAAGTACAAATATTTTTTATTTAAATAATAAAAATAGGGGCTGGAGAGATAGCTCAGCAGTTAAAAGCACTTGTTGCTCTTGCAGAGGACCTGGGTTCAAGTCTCAGCTCCCTATGGTGGCTTACAACAGGCTGTAACTCCAGTTCCTGGGGTTACAATGACCTCTTCTGTCATCTGCAGGCATCAGGCACACATATGGTGCACATACATACAGACATATGTACGTACATACATGCATACAGACAAAACATTCATATGTAAAATATATCTAAATTGTGTAATACATAAAAATAATCCTAAATTTATATCATATAAT